TCATTTAAGCCTCACAGCAATCCTATGACATGTAGACTATTATTAGCACCCAACCCTTACTCTTTTAATATTTGAAGAAACTGAGTTAAGAGAGGTAACAAGAGATTGCCCAAAGTCACATGCTAGTAAAAGTCAGAGCTGGGATTTTAATCCAGGTCTGCTTGAATCCAAATCCCAGGTCTTTAATCTTGTTATATATAATATAAGGGACATTTGGGGTTGTGATTCCCGGCATTAGTAATTCCCTTTTGTTGCCTGGATTGTTTGAGAAACAATCTAATAAAAAAATGTAGAGAATCCCTCAGGGAAAGGGTTACAACAATGCAAGTACACCATATAAGAAAAGAAGTACCGTACCTCTACCAAGTGCTCCCCTAAGAGGGAAAAAAGAGAAAAGGGAATCATACATCTCTTATACATTCAGAAGTGATAAAAAACCAAAAGGACCAGCTAGAGAAAAACTGAGAAGTATATATGCCAGGGTCACATCCTACTCTTGGAATCAATTTCTACCCTAATAGCCACCCATCTATCTTTCCAATTATAGGTCCCAGAATTGTTCTGTGCTCTCCTCCATGAAACATTTCTCTCAGGCAACAAACTCCTTTCTAGATATACTTACTAGGATTGAATAGTATAGCTGTCTAGCCTCCGCCAGATATTTATGTTTTAAGCTTCCACCACTCCTACTGGCAATCAAAACAATATGGGAGGGGAAGCACGTGCACTGGAAAGCCAAGAAACTATTTATTTCCTGGCCCCTGAAAGGTGCATAGTGTGAATGACAGATTCCTCATGTTATGGTGTTAGGAACTGAGCACACGTGAAAAAAAGCACCCGTCTGGGAGCTGGAGGACCCATGCTTGTATCTCCCACTTTGGCTACTAGAGTATCTTTAGCAAGTCACTTCACCTCTCTGGGCTTCAGATTCCTTATTTGTAATGAGGGGGGACTATAATAAATATTATATATATAATACATATATATTTATATTATAAATATAATATAATAAAGAATTTTATAACATTTCTAGTTGCAGAACCCTTTCACCAAATGATATCTTTCAGGGAAACTAACAATGTATAATAGACAAAATGTGAAACTACTCTGAGTGAAGGTCAAGGGGACCCTTTCCCATGCCCCATTGTAATAGATCATATTAAGGTGGTTCTCATTTTAAACATTCCATGATTATAAATAAACTCCTTATAACCTGAGGAGAAGGCAGCGTCCCTTTGAGCAGCTGCACCAGAGAATCCTCTGGCCCCCAGATGGCTGCCCTCCTTTATCAGTGAGCCTCTTCCTAAAGCAAATAAGCAAAGAAAAAAATCCCACAGAAACAGAGTCCGACGTGAGGACTCAGGGAGCCAACAGAATGTTCAACTCTATCCAGGCAAACTAAAACACATTCCAAGGAAGAGATAAGGTTTATGAAAAGGAAACTAACACAATCACTTAAAAGAATTTCAACATTAAACCACTCAGGCCAGGCTGCCAGGCCACAGGGAGGCTACAAAATTTCCAAGGTCAGCCCTGGAAAAAAAAAAGGCTTCACAAGGACCCATGCCTTGGTTTTCCTCTTTTGTTTCTCATTGCCCTGGGGTCAACTTCTTTCAGGTCCCTATGTGTGGGAAGTGGCAGTACATTGTACACAGCATACATTTCTTCTGGCACTGAGTCCTACAGGAACTCAGCATTTTGGGAAAAGGGATTATAGGAAGAGTGACTACAGATTAATAAATCTGAACTTTTACATATATCAGAACAAAGTAGTCAACTCAATAGGGTCACCTGATGAAAAACACAATACCCTATTTTTGAATTTTCAACAGATTTCAGATAAATATGAATTTCAGATAAACAACAAATAATTTTTTAGGATAAGTATACCCCGAATATTGCATTCTTAAAATAAAAGTATTGTTATTTACCTAAAATTCAAATTTAACTCAACATCCCATATTTTTATTTGCTAAATCTGGCAATCCTAACCCTCAAGATGAAAACATACTCCAGCTATATTTCCAATATCCAAATCATTTTTTTAATCCTATTTGGAAATGGCCTTTACAAGATGAGGAACATTCCTTCCCCAAGCCTCTATAGAATTAAAGCTTCAGCCTTGGAGACTGGATTAAATTTCTGAAGACTACCAAACGTTATTCCTCAATTGTGTGAGTAAATGAGAATGATCAAGCAAGGTGACTCCGCTTAGGGCCAAAACATGAGGTGTGATTCAATGTTAATGAAATGAGTTGTCTTGTGAAACCCACTATCTTTACTAACTCTCTACTGCCTACAGAATAAATTCTCAGTTTTGCAATACTGCATTCAAGGTATCCAGGTAAATCTATCTCTCCGGCCTCTGTCTTCACCCACTAGGGCCACACAGGCTACCTGTTGGTGGATCCTTTCATACTACTTCTTAGTATGAGAATACTACATACTTATTGCCTTTATCCAGAAAGCCCTTTCTGGCCCTACCTACCTGATTGACACTTGTATTTCAAGACTCAGCCCAAATGTTACTTTTCCAAAAGCCACTTTAAATCCTCTCTGAACTATGTGGAAGGAAGGATGAATGCATGGATGGATAGATGAACCAATAAAACTTCTTTATAAAATTTTCTTACCTCTATTCTCAACTCCCAAGCACAGGTTAAAAACATAGGCTTTGGAGTTAGGCAGACCTGAAATCAAATCCCGGTTGTGTTATTGAGTAGAGATGTGATTTTGGGGAGAGAAGTTTAACATCAATAAATTGCAATCCCCTTACCTGTAAAACTGGGATAATACAGCTCATCCCACAAAGGGTTATGGGGATGATTAAATGAGATAGAGTAAGAAAAAGCACTTGGCATAGTGCCTAACTCAGAATAAACATTTGCTAAATTGTAGTTATTTTCTTATTAGTAGTACTCCTTTCTTTGTGTTCTCTCAGTACCCTCCTATCATAGAACTCAAACCACTTAACTGCATTTAACAATTTATATAGCTCCTAGACAAGGACCACTTCTTTTTTTTTTCTTTTAAGCATCAGCTCCTACCACACAATTCCTAGGGGTGTAGAAGAACAAGAGAACAAAAAGGGAAGAATCCAATATTTATTTAATGTAACTATATAAATATGTACAAGGCACTGTGCAGGACATTTTCAGTATACTACTTAACCTCCATACGAGACTTACAAAGTAGATAAAATTATATCTATTTAAGAGAGAAGAAACTAGGGGCGCCTGGGTGGCTCAGATGGTTAAGCATCTGCCTTCGGCTCAGGTCATGATCCCAGGGTCTTGGGTTCGAGCCCCGCATCAGGCTCCCTGCTCAGCAAGGAGTCTGCATCTCTCTCTCCCTCTGCCTGCAGCTCCCCCTGCTTGTGCTCTCTCTGTGTCAAATAAATAAAATCTTTAAAAAAAAAAAGGAGAGAAGAAACTAAATCCTAAAAGCTCAGTGATTTACTCAGGATTCAAAGGTAGGTAATGACATGAGCAGGATTTGCCTCCAGGCCTATCTGACAGCATGCCTGCCTGAGCACACCACCCACCCACACCACAGAGATTAGTCTCTTGACTTTCCCATTTCCAGCTCTTTCTAAGGTCAGAATGAGTAAAGGTTATGGAAATCAGTGGAAAGTTTTGCTTAGTGGAGGTAAACTAGGGATTATGATAAGGAGCAAGGGGAAGCACAAAGGGAAAGACTTGTCAGGCAATTATAATAAGACAAGGGGAAGGCTATCTTGTGCCAATTACCTCAATTTCTTTTTTCTTCCTTCAAAACTGTTTCACATATGATTTAATAAGTCTTTAACTCATTATTTTTCAGTTAATATCTAAGAACATCAAATATAAATAAATCATTCTACTTTAAAACAAATCAAACATTATAGATAACAAAGTCCTCTTTGCCCACCTCTCCAATCCTGGTCCCATCCCTACTTATTCCAAGCTAAAAGATACTGGATAAGGTATGTTCTCTTTCAGACATTTACAAATGCATTTACATACAGAAATGTGTAGCCACATAAAATATATATTGTTTCATGTTTAATTAATGAATAAGTTATTTTTATTGTATACACAAACAAAAAAAATAAAACCCTGATTTACCCAACTCCTATTCTATGTAGGCATTCTCTAACTCCAAAATGGGTCTTTCCATTATTTCAGGGATTTCTGATAAAGAGATGAAGCTAATTTACTATTTAGTATTGGTATGGTCTACTCAAAACTGGATTTTAAGAGATACATTGTAAAAGAAAGCCAAAATAAAGACTACTACCAGAATTAAGAACTGACCACATTTTTTTAAGTTTTTTTTGTTTTGTTCTTTTTTTTTTTTTACAGAGAGATGGCGGGGGGTAGAGGGGGGACCGGTAGAAAAAGGGAGGAGAGAGAACATTAAGCAGGCTCCCTGCCCAGTACAGAGCTCGATCCCATGACCCTGAGATCATGACCTGAGCCAAAAGCAAGACTTGTTCACTTAACTGACTGAGCCAAAATCAGGAGTCATTCACTTAACTAACCGAGCCACCCAGGCACCCTGACCATATTTTTTTTAAAGTGAAATTCAAGCCAAACTTTTGCAGAATACTTAGTGTCTTCATGGATGGAGCCCTATGGAACATAGTTTGAAAACACTTGACTTGATATTCTCTAGGCCTTTCCTAGGACTATATTTCTATGATTAATAAAGTGTGTGCATATCAAATCTAGACTCTGAAGAGGAAGGACTTGGTTCTTTGGAGGTATCAGAAATCATAGACCCATGAGCCTCAGCCAGGTTGGAGCCAGTTCTGACCTTAAAGAGTCCCTCCCTGCAATGCAAACAGTCCCATGTTGTTTCCCCTTCCTGTACCAAAAAAAAAAAAGTACACATAAACATATCTTTAAGTGTCAATTTCCTTGTTGAGACCATATTATAATGGAAGGGTTTTGCTGAGAGCTATAAATAGTAATTTCCTTCAGTAGTGATATACTCTATTTCTGGTAAGAGCAAGGAAATTCACCAGCTTCTTCCCGGCAACACTATACTACTTATATAAGAAAGTGACCTACAGAAGCAGGATGGCCATATATAAGGTAAGAGGGTGGGTGAGGGGCCTGGGAAATGGAGGCAGCAGGGGTTATTTTACTTTATTCTCCTGAAACTCCATTACCCCATTTCTGTATATGAGGAAAAAAGTAGAAAGGTGTCTCCATGGTCTCCCTCTCTTTCACAAAAAAACCACCTAAAGCTCTCCTCTTCAGGGCAGGAAGGATTTGAGATAAAAGACATATAACCAAATAAAGTGAGTGGACCCTTTTTGGCTGATTGTAAAAACAACAAAAAAGAAATGTCAAGGCAATCAGAGAAATCTGAATGTGGACTTGGTATCAAATAACAAATATTCAGGAATTATTAATTTTATTAAGTGTGACAGGGCACTGTAGTCAAAATCTGTCCTTTTTTTTTTTAGATGCATCCTGGAGTATTTAAGGGTGAAGTGCCATGCTGCCTACTTGTGAGGGTATGTTTGAAATTTTTCATGATAGTTTCAAAGAAGAGAGGTAAAAAAGAGTATGGCATAATACTGATGGTTGTTGAAACTAGGTGATGAGTTCATGGAGGTTCGCTGAACCCCTTATTTTTGTATATGTTTGGAAATTTCCATAATAAAAAGTTTATATTGAAACTTCTGAAATGTGACCCATTCCTTTAGCTAACCACACACCCATGCTCTTCATTTTTCCCACCCATCTACTATGTTGATTATCACTCTAATGATTGGCATCAGAGTTTAGTGGTTAAGTTGCAGGCTCTAGAACTACACTGTCTGGGTCATTGCTGGGGTCCTAGCATTGCCCACTTGACCTTATGAGAGTTCATTTACCTCTACATCTTCTCACCTGTAAAATGGGAGATGATCATATTTGCCTTTTGGGCTTTTATGAAGATAAATGTGTTAATAAATGTATTTAGAATAGTGGCTGGTATATAATAAGCACTCAATAAATCTTAGTCATTATCATTATTAAGTAACTTCTGAAAGTAAGAAGGTACACTACAACATCATCTAGTCTTATTCTTTGTTTAATAAAAGAAAAACTTAGGGTCAAATGTTTTTAAAAAAGAAAAAAAAATACCTGCCTAAGGACACAAAGTTGGATAAAGGCAGAGCAGATTAGAATTCAGCTTTCCTAGAATCCTGGTCAATGTCCTTATACTTTATTCACTTTAATACATATTCAATATTGAATTGAATCAGTATTTGCCATGCTCTCTGCTTAGTACTAAGTAAAAGATTAGATCTTTTCTTTTAAGTAATATACCATCTAGTTGGAAAATAGTAATAATACTAGGTTTTGTACAGTGACTTTCACTTTTCAAAGTGCTCCTAACAAGCTCAAGGGCAGGAAAACTAATCTCTAGTGACAGAAATCAGAATAGTGGTAGCCTCCGGATGGGATAAAAAAAGGGACATGAGCAAACTTCCCAGGGTGAAAGAAATATACTATATCCTGATTGGAGTGTTGGTTACACAGATACATACATTTTTAAAACTCATCAAATTGTACACTTAAGACATATGCATTTCACTGTATGTAAATAAATTTTACTCTAAGTTTTTAAAAATCCCTCTACATACATGTATTTTCCTGGCTTCTCAACACTGTTAACTACAGCAAAGAGATATTTCTTGAAAGCTGAGAAACGTGGAAGTTTTAAAAGGGCGTGTTCAAGGATATACAGCAAAGCTAAAGCTAGAAGTAGGTCTCAGTTCCTGGCCCAGTATGACTTCAAATTCAAGAATGAACTCAGACAACACAAGGTATTAGTATAAGTGGGAAAAGAGAGGAGAGGATAGAAGAATTGCTAGCCTTGTTTGGAGAAAATATGGAGAAGACAAGGATCAACACAGGACAGATGCATTAGGGAAGGCTCTGTGGGTAAAGTGGGACTTATCTGAGTCTGTCCCGAATGCTCTGGTGGCATCTGCCTCTCTCTGTCACAATGTCTCAGGCTCTTTGAGAGCAGGAATCATATTGCATGCAGTGGACTCCAGGCATAAATACTATCACCTCAGCTTGTCCTCTGGGGCCTCTAATTCTGTCTTTTCATCCCCTCTTGTAACTTCTTTCCAGTGAACTCCCAGGACACGGTCAATTCCCTCAGGATAAACTCTGAGCCAAGTGTCTTTACTCTTCCTAATGGCAAAAGCCTTGAGAACAGGAGTAGTAGAACAAAACTCCAGACATTCTGTGGGATACAGTGAGTGTTTAGTGGTTAAAATAAAAGTCCATTGTCCCTTATTCTTCCCTCCAGATTTTATCAACATGGAAAATAATGCCCTTCACGCAATGGCAAAGTAAAGTACAATGTGGTCTTTAATCTGTCCTTCAGTGTTTATATGTGAGCCATTTGGCACCAAGTAAGCAAACGGGTTCACTTTAGTGGAGGAAGGTTGTCACTTTCACACAATGCATCTGAGCTAAGTGGTGTGATGTAACTACTGTCTTAAAGTAGAACCACCCACTAAGGAGTTCTGCTCCTGCTGTTATTGGCTTCAATAGCCTGTGGTTTAACTGCACACAGCTGAATGACTCAGTAGTTCACTGCTGTATACAATCCTCATGATCTACAATGCACTAGCCTTTAGAACTGGAAGTTTCCTTAAAGATCCAAGGATGGGGGTGGGAGGTGGGGTGGGGAAGGGGCAAGCATGAGGAATGGTCCAGTTACACAGAGCCGCCAGGTCTTGTGACCTGAAACTTCCTTGTGGATTTTAACTTGCAACTGATATTTGATTATTCTACAGTCTTCTTAGTCTCTAATTGCTCCATCCCTGGTGGCTTTGCTTTCCTAATGACAACAAGAGTTCTGAGGGACGAGATCGGGTACGTTCAGGGTGGTATGGCTGCTACCTTCCGCTGTCCTGCCAGGTTCTGAAAAGATCAGAAGAATAGTTGAAGTCTTGAGAGCTGATGTAATCCAGGGTCTGGGAATTCTGCTTTTAGAACTGGTATATGACCTTTTGGAAGAAGAAGATGAATTGGAGAGAGAGGTACATTTGCAGGAGCACATGGGTGAAAAAATATACAACTTAGAGTGTAAAAACTCGCCAGCTGAAATTTTTTGAAGAAAATGTGAATTTTTGAGAATTTAATCTGCCAGAACTAAAGACCTATTTTCAAAGGTTTTTGGCTTAAACAGAAACAAACCCATAATAATGGCTGGAGGCCATTCACCATCCTTATATCTCCTTTTTTGTTGTTTTTGTTTTTTTTATAACTGGAAAAAAATGGGATGGAACAGAGTAATATGAAGCAATGTTACACTGGCTATCTTACTCTCTGGATGAGGAAAATCTGTTAGAAGATGTCTGTTTGGTTACTGTTTACTGAGCCTTAAACCACCAACTTCATATTTAGAACTTTATTTTTTTAAGGTACTAATTAGCTTGATTATAGGGCCATAAAATTAGATTGGAAGTTTTACATAGTACTATAGTAATAAATGCAATAGGAGAAACAAATAATATGTCACAGTGATACTAGTTGTCATTGTTAATAACTTTAGGTAGTAGTTGATAAATTATTTTTTAAAAAAGCCAATTTATGATACTGGTAGTAGATTTGAATATGAATATGAAGTTGTATCTACCACTTGAGCAACTGAATTCCTTTTTCACATATTGATGGACGTTTAACCTTTTATTTTCATTTAATATGAACGTCATTTCTGGCATATAAGAATTGAAACTAAGAAATATTTTGGTGTTGTCAATCAATGTTTTTGTATACTGTTTTTTTTTAGAGTAATATTTTCATCAGCAAAAACATTTCTTAAACACTAATTCCCTTTCCAATTAATCAATTTGTAAGTGAAGTCCAGATCCTTTTAGTTATGTTGGACATATTTATCTCCTGAAGTTTTATCTTCTTGTACATCAAATTATTGGTTGTCTTTAAATGTATGACTATATATCACGTATTTTATTGGTTGTTTAATAGGGGTAATTCCCATGTGAGAAATAAATTGTTTTTTATAAAAGTAAAAAAAAAAAAAGAGAGAGTTCTAAGGGAGAGACTTTATCATGGTGCAGGCTCTAGCAGGTAATAACTTCATACCTTTCTCACACGACTTACCATCTCATGAGCACCTACCATGTGCCAGACACTGGATTTTTACAATGACTCTATGAGATGAGCACTATAACCCTCACTCTACAAACAAGAAAACCAATCTACCAAAGTAGGTAGTGGCAGAGGAATAATTTGATCTTATGTCTAACTAATACCCCTATGTGCTTTTCATTTATCCACACTTAAATCATTGAATTTCCATGATAAGAAAAATTTTGTACTTTCAATTACCTATGTAACTTTAACTTTAGTGATTCCTTTCTGTTATATTAAATTAAAACTTTTCAAGCTACTCTTTAGTGCTTAGAAATTCCTCTAGACAAGCAAAAGATGGAATTATCCCAAGGACCAATGGCTGGATATTTTTTATTTGTTCTGCCAGATCTCTTTTCCACTCAGCTTTGTGCTCTGGGAAGTAGCCTTTACGCACTACATCATTAGTTCCCGACTCTCTGGCTTTCAGCTGGGTTTACCCACTGGGAGCACTAGATGGAGGTTAAGAGAGAGAAGAGAGTGTTAATGATAATAATATTTTCCTTCTTCTTTTAATTCTGATATCACTGGACATGATAGAGGTCGTTCAGGTTGGCTGGTTTTATCTACAATAGCCACAGCTCCTATCCTGTGGCTCTCTCTTCTGGACCCATACCTATTGCCTTTGGGGTGAAACTTCTCCCTTCATTTGTCCATTCAATTTAGGGGTACCAACTTCCCACTGTTGATAGCCCCAGAATGCTTCATCATCCCTTGATACTTTCCCTTAAACCTATTTCACCTGAATAAATAGTTCCTAAATTAAATTTTCCTTAATTGCTCCACTTGAGGATCCCATGGATTTCCTGAAGGTTTTCAAAATGATACAACATGAGCTCTAGAATCTTTTTGATGCTTTGGATCACTGAACAAATGCAAGGTGCCTTTTCATGCATACATTTGTGCATTCATTCAACAAATACTTATTGAGCACCTATTGTGTGCCAGGCACTGGATTTACAATGGTAACAAATGTGGCCACAGCTCTCCTACATAAAATAGAGTAGATAGATTAAACAGATAATCACACACAAACTAGTAGAACACTATAATTGTGCCATGTGCCATGGCCCAATGAGGGCTAATGAGAGGAGTCAATCTGGTAGGGAGATCAATCAAGGCTTGCATAAAAAAGCAAAAGTAGAGCAAAAGACAAGTAGGTATTTATTGGGCATAGAAGAACAGAAAGAGCATTCCAGGCAGAAGCTGATGGCTGATAAAAGCTGGTGTGGCAGGAACAGAGAAAGCAGGAGATGCTTGAGGAAAGATAAAGATGAACAGGCTTTGTAGGCCTTATTGAAAAACTGCCTTTATCCTCTAGTTTATAGAGTGTGAAGACTGGGTTGGATGGCCAAAGTGGATTGAGCACAGACCAAGTAGACAAGGTGAGAGGTAATCTAAATGGTGGTGGGGAAAATGGAGAAAGTAGATTGATCTTATATAGAGATAGGGAGAGAGATTGAAAAATAGATTTGCTCCTCCCTGGAAGATTTCAGTGTCTGGTTCCTTATATACATTAATACAACTGTCTTAGGGCAATGACTTCTCAACAAATGGAAAAATTCTTCCTTCTCATTGTGAGATACGGGTCAAGAAAGATTATTCTAGGTCTAAGAAAAAGGATGAAACTCAGTAATGCAGTTATATACACAGGGTCAGGACATAAAAACGGTCCCCATAGTGACTTCCTGTCTTGACCTCTAACAATTCTCACTCCTTAGAAATTCAACAAGGCAGAGGATCATAGGGGAAAAGAGGAAAAAATGAAAAAAGATGAAACCAGAGAGGGAGACAAACCATAAGAGACTCTTAATCTCAGGAAACAAACTGAGGGTTGCTGGAATGGAGGTGGGTGGGAGGGATGGGGCGGCTGGGTGATGGACACTGGGGAAGGTATGTGTTGTGGGGAGCGCTGTGTATTGTGTAAGACTGATGAATCACAGATCTGTACCCCTGAAACAAATAACACATTATATGTTAATAAAAAAAAGAAAGAAAGAAATTCAGTAAGAAGTTCAGACTGAGTTCTAGAGAGAGCAGAGAAACCCAGAGAGATGAGAGTTACAATCTTGGCTCTCCCACTTACTGTGTTGACTATGGAATTAGTTAATTTCTCTGATCTTCACATTCTTCTTCTGTAAAATGAGAATGATAAATATTTCATAGGATCGTTGTAAGGATTAAATTAGGTAATGTATGTGTATACATATGCTGTTCACTAATTCAAATAACAGAAAACTGATTTTAAAAGGACTTAAAGCAAATTTATCTAATATATTGGGAAGTCTTAGGTATGACAGATTTCAAGGTTTACTGACTCAGCAGCATAGTCAATCTCTTTCTGACTTTCTCCTCTGTCACCCTGGATGTGTGTTGTTGACTCTCGCACTAGCTCCCCTCATGATCGTAAGTTAGAAGTATCACATTTAAAGAGAGAAACATCTAAAGTGGAAAGGAATATCTTTTTCACTATTCCCTACTTGAATGTGAAAAACCTTTACCAAACAATAACAGACTTATATCTCATTTACTAGAACTCAAAGTAAAATACACAAAGGCAGGAATATTTGTCTGTTTTGCTTACTGATATATCTCCAAAAATCAAAATAGTGGTTAGGCCTCGAAAACAATTTATTGTTTGAATGGACCACATGCCTAATTCTAATCTAACCACTAGTAAGCAAAGTGGGATTACCATGTACTGGCACCTTTTCTGTAAAAAGCAAAATAATAATTTTAGGTTTTGTGGGCCGCATAGAACCTCTATAGCATATTCTTCTTTTTTCAACCCTATAAAAATATAAAAAATATTTTTAGCTCATGGGTCTTCCAAAAACAAGCCAAGGAATGGATGGCCCATGGGCCATAGTTTACTGCCCCCTGGCTTAGATTAATCATGTGGGGTGAAATGGAGGAACAGTAAAGCACCATGACCAGTAGAATATGTACAGCACTCAGCAGAATCCCCCACATGTAAAAAGCACTCAATAAATATTAGCTGCCATTGTTTTTGATGATGTATCATTTTCCTTGTTCTTGTTTTTCTAGTATAGCTGGACTTCAGAGACCTCTGTTCTGTGATAAACCCTGCCATAGGTTGTGGACTGCCTCTGACTCTGGACTGAACCATGTGAGCCAGTGCCACAGAAAGATGTACCATACACAAAGAAGATAGAGAAAACAATAAGGTCAGGGTCAAAAACCAAGATTCACAAAATTAGCAGAGGATGTGAGAAGTGTATTATGGTGGAGGAAATTAATTCTATTCCCAAATACTAGAAAACTCAAAGTTAAAAAGGTAGGGGCGCTTGGGTGGCTCAGTCGTTAAGCGTCTGCCTTCGGCTCAGGTCATGATCCCAGGGTCCTGGGATCAAGTCCCGCATCGGGCTCCCTGCTCAGCGGGGAGCCTGCTTCTCCCTCT